GCGAGGACGCACGATATATGATGTAGTAGCTGCAAAATTAGCTACAACCCCTCTCTCGTATTGCATCATTTTATTGGTAGAAGAGATATACTTACATTATGCATGGATTTAAATACCTATGCTACGTACTCATCTTTTCAACCCTTTTTTAAAAAGGAGTTTAGGATATGAATATTATTGTTTGATTGCACGTATAGATGTGACTAAAATATATATGTGCGTAATGAAAGTGCAGGGCATATTGGTGGTATACGATAGAGACATTCCATAAAAGCAGAAATGAAAAACACAAAAAAGATAGTAGAGAGCATCTGAAGGAGCTATAAGAGAGTGAATATAATGGTAGGGTTGGTCTCCACAACAAAGGGGTGGGATATTGATTGTCAATAAATGCTTTACTTACTGATTGCTGTTTCATCTATTAATTGCTACCATTCCTCGGTGTCACAACAAAGCAAAGGAATTAATAACCCACCCACGTGCAGAGAACTTATTATTATTCATCCAACACAAAAAAACAAACTTGTGCATTTTTTGTAACACCTACTACACCTATGCATTGTAAAATTAACCTATATAACAATAAATATTGACAAAATATATTCCCTCTCTTTCTAAAATAATTAATAAATTTTTTAATTTTCAATTTTTAATTTTCAATCTATTATTAATTTTTATTTAAATTATATCATTTAATTAAGAATTAGTTATATTTTCATATTTTCATTTTACATTTATAATAAAATTGTATATACCAATACATTACAAGAATAATTTAGTAAAAATGTTTTTTTTAAAAAGAAAAGTTAACATGTACTCCAAGACACAAGTTAATAAATTATTTATAAAAATATTTTTTTAAAATACATATATTTAATAATTTAAATTATAAATATAATTTTATTATATTTAAATTTTTTTAATTATATTATCATTAACATGTGTATTTAAGACACATATTAACATGACCTTTTTAAAAAAAAATTGAATTTATATCAACTGATCAACTAAATTTGACCATCTGAATTTGTTTTTTTATTCTTAAATTATGATTGAAAGTAAGAATAAGTTAAACCTATAATTTACAACTTTCGTCAATCTAAAGTCAGATAATAATTTCTTAAAATAGAGGAAGTATAAATTTATTTAGCAAAAAAAAGTTAAGCCATTAATCATAAAATAGCTTTTAGATCTACAAATATCAAACTTTTTTATATAAATATTAATAATATTTAATATTAATATTATTGCATTATATTTTGAATTAAAATATACTTGTTTTTAACACTTTTAATAATTTAAATCTATAAGTTTACATTGATTTTTTATTTTTAAATATATTATTATAAAAAAATTAAAATATAATATTATATAATATTATTATATTTAATTTTATTATCTAAAATATTATGAGAATTATCAAAATATAGGTTATTAATTTTTATTTATTAATATATTAGTCTATTTAATCGTACAAATCATATTATTTATTTATTTATATTAATATAAAATAAGTTTTTAAATAGACTAACAATTTTTAACGAAATAAAAGAGAGAGAGAGTAATAAATAATATAAAAAAATATTAACGAAATATTCATTATTATTGTATTTAAATTATAAAGAGACTTATAATTTAATACAATTTTTTTCCTGAAAATAACTTTTAAGAATGTTAGCGGCTGAGGTTTAGTCTTAAAAATAAGTCTACAAGTTACATTTTTTGGGTGAAGCTATAGGGCATGATTATAGAGGTAAAAACAGGTAATATACAATATAAAGCTTTTAGAGGAAATAGATGAAAGACTAGAGCATGAAAGAAAAATGAGTAGTGAAATGAAAATTGTTGAAAGGTCGTTTCAGAAGACACTGTTTATCCATCAGAAGGGAGAGAGATCATTGTTACCAATCAGGCCAATTTGGGCTCCATTCATCTTTTGCCCATCCTTTCTCTATCTCATAAAGCTGCAAATGAGATCCAACAATTCATATACTTCATCACAGTACACCATGGATTGGGACCATTACATCTTTGTTATGATATCATCCATCCTACCTATATATCTTTTCATATCCCCTCTCTTCAAATATCACTAATCATTTCCTCTACCCTACTATATGCATCTTCCATCTATCATCCTATACCTTAGCTTCACTTCTCCACTATATCCAAACCAAACCAAACAAAACAAAACCAAAAACCCTTCATATACATTTTTTTACTCATCAACCTTACACTATCAAATGAAAACACTACTAGTATCTAATTAATAAATCACTCACACCTAGAATTCACCTTTATTTGTTCTAAAACCATAAAGTTGAAATCAAACCCTCACTCATAATAAGGGTTAATTGGTGAATATATTCGTAAAAAGACTAGGTTAAGACAAGAAAGTAAAGTTATGGATGCCAAAAATAAAATCCTTGAATAGTTCATGTACATGCACTATCAATCCATCACTATCCCTCAAAGTTTGAACAGGCCTAAAGTTCTGGATTTGAGATCATCAGGCACGGAAAAAACACTTATCTTCAACTTTGACCACTTTTCATCTTGGACGAAAATTTCAATTTATAAATGAGTAATATATACAATATGTCTATTAGTTTAAATAAAGTTTAGTGCTTGAGATGGTCTTTATCTTTGTTGTAATAAGCCTACTTTGTTACAGGGGTAAGAGTACTCATAGATTTTTTTTGGTCGTTCTAAATATCTTAAATTTTATTTTTAGTTTCTTTAAAATTTTCTTTTAAAAAATAGTCTTTTTAAAAAATTTAAAGTTTAACTTTTGATCCCTCCTGTAGTTTAGCGACGGTTTTTATAATTTAACGACGGTTTTAGTGACGATTTTTAGTGACGGTTTTTAATTTAGCGACGGAATTAGAGATCATTTTAGTTATGATTTTGTCATGAGTGATTGAAAGTTAAATTTTAAATTTTTATAAAAACTATTCTTTAAATAAAAATTTTAGAGGGACTAAAAACGAGGTTTGAGATATTTAGAGAAACAAAAAAAATTCATCAACCCTATTTTTTTTTATGGGGAACAAGTTCTCTATCCATCACAAAAAGTTGGGTATTGTATCACATCATAACATTTATTTTTATCCTATGTAATTTATTTATAAAATAGTACTTTTTTTTTTTGGTTCCGAAAGCATTTTACTCTAAGGGTAACTCTATCGAACTTTTCGTGTTGTGTAGATAAGAATTGATGTTTTTTTATAAATTGGATTTCCAGTTAGTTTAGTTGATATGTAGTTTTATTCAGAGATCCGCATATCCTCTTTTAGATGTTTTTCCCTTTTGCTAGTCCTCATACGCTTATTGAATGTCTTATGATTTGACATGTTAGGGTCTGATCAATTTGATATCATGGAATGATATAATTAGGGTTTTAAAAACTAGTCTGCGATAGCGAAAACGGCCGCAACAAAACAATATCGACAAATGTCAATATTGATATCACTATTACCATTTATATGATAAAGAATAAATTGTGGTTAATTTACATCGTGATGCCTGCAATCAGTATTGCGACACTTTAATAGAACAAAATCGCAAAAGTCTTAACATGACCATGACCGTTTTTTAAAACCTTGGATATCGTGTTCTCGGGTAAATTGATAATAACGAAGGATGTGGAAAATATGAGTATCTCTTTTGCTAAAAAATATTCTTTCTGTTCCATTTTAAGTGTTATTTTTTTTTTAAAAATTGTTCATTTTTAAGTGTCACATTTCAAAGTTCAACATAATACTAATTATTGTTTTGTCAAAATTAATCCTAATCATTATTATATGGAGAAAAAAATAAATATACTAATAAAAAGTTAAGAATATTATAAAAAAAAGATAATCATTATTTAAAAAGTAACAACAATTATTATTTGTCTTAATATGTGTAAAAAGTTAAAAAGTGATAATTAAAAATGAACAAAGAGAGTAATATGTTAATAGATTTATATGAAACTCTTGTGCTTTCTCAACATGACTCAAGAGCTCTCTATCTTATATTTGAGCCAATAACAAAGCATGAGTCTTTAACCTCCCTTTTGGTTTGTTCTTATTGCTTTTGTAGAGATTGGTATCTTTCGATGATGATCGTTGGCCGAGAAGCTCTAGCTAACCTCCCTTTTAGTTTGTTCTTATTGCTTATGTAGATATTGGTGTCTTCGTTGATTGTTGGCTAAAGAGTTCTAGCTGATCGTTGACTAAAGAGCTCTAGCTGAATTTTTTTTCTAGTCATGCTAACATGTATCTTAAAGACACACGTTAAATACTATAATTAAAAAAGTTTAAATACCATAAAATTATATTTAAAATTTTAATAAATTGAATTCTCGGATTCCGAAAAATATTTGTAAATAATATTTTTAACATATATTTTTAGGACACATATTAACTTTTTCCCCTATTTTTTTTTCTTCTTAAACTTTTTACTCTTTTTTATTGTTTTATCAACCTATTCTTTTATACTTCTGATTTCTATTCGTTTTTCAAAAAATAAAAATTGAAACTAATCATTTAAAAAATATTATAGAGACTAATCATTCGAATAAAAGAAATCTTCCTCAAATAATTTAGAAAGTTAAAGCAACGCAAGCTATCTTTAGCTCGGAAAGATTAATTTAAACAGAATTGTAGAGCTACTAATTATGATCATTAGGCATATTAATCATGAGTATTTGTACTATGCCCTTGCCCAAATATACAAATAAATTAACAATAATACCAATTCATCACCTTTTCTAAAGAGCTTCACCTTAAGAAAGAGATAATAGAAAGGAATTTTAGGTTTTATACATGAGAGCAAAAGTCAAAATATATATCTGGCTTTAACAGCTATATATGTTTTGTATCAAGTCACTCACTCTCCTAGTCCTAACTAATGTTCCAACATAAAAGGAAAAAAGAAAGAAAATGTTGCTTTCCATTTAAACTAATTAATTCTTGCTTATATTATATTAATCATTTCATAGAACAATTAACATATTATTAATCATTATCTTGCTCAACTTCAGAAGCTGGTTCATCTTCTTCTTCAAACCCATCAAATCCATAAGCACCATGTCCATTTCCAAAGGCTTTGATATGATCCTTCAGAGACCTCTTGTGTTTGAAATCAGAACCACAGATACAATACCAAAGCTTCCCACAATTCTTTTCATGAGTTCTCCAATCACCTCTAACAGCAAAAGCCTTGCTGCATTTTCTACACATGAATGGCTTTATCCCGTGTTTCCTCTTGTAATGTGTTTGAAGTGTTCTAAAATCTTTCAATGGCTTCGCTCTTGGATGATCAATGTTGTTTCTGCAACCTGCTGCACAGCAGTAACATGGTAGCCTTAGCATTCCGGTTGGTTGTGTGCCTCTTAGAGATTCCGGACCTTTTCTGTATTGTGATCCATGCCCCCACATATGCATCTATAAACAAAACAAACAAAATATTTCAAAAAAAACATATTTCTCTAAAGTGATCCATAGCAAAACGAATCGAAACGACAAACACTGAATATTAAATCGGTCACATAACATATTATCATAAATGTATTATGAGGAAGGAACAAAGATTTCATTTGAAGATATGATAAAAGAGCATATATATATATATATATATATATATATATATATATATATATATATATATATATATATATATATATATATATATATATGGGGTTATCAGGTTGGAAAGATGGTGGGATTCAGATTTAAAGCTAAAAAGAGAAATTAATTTTTATTTAATTATTTATATATATGAAGATCTGGAAGAAACACTGAAAAAATTTCTGTTTCAAAACAGTTTCTAAAATACAGAAAGAAGTAGCACAGACTTCAATGTAGTAAAAAGCATAAGGAACATTGATTGAGTAGTTTAATCAATCAGTACTGATCTCAGTTTCTCAGTGTGTATTATTGAACAAAATACACCATGCAAAAATTCAACTAAACCAAAATTAATAAACTGAATTACTTTTCCTAGAAATAATAGGGTAAAATAATTTCAAAGAGAAGAAGAAAAGAAATATATAGTTGATTTTGAAGAAAGAAAAAAAAAGCAGAAGTGAAAAACAAAGTTGTAATCATAACTTGTTCAAAAAGAAAGAACTGAAAGCTGAAGAGAAGTACAGACCATAGATTAGTAAACAACCTTTTCCTCTTTCTATCCAAGCATCAGAGAACCGTTAACAGTTCAAATCAAGAAAGAAAAGTATTGACAGAAAGCAGAAGCAGAAACAAGAGAAGATAAAGAGAAGAAGGATTTGAGTATGAAGTTTGGAAGCATGGTGTGATAGTTAGATACCTGCATGTTGTTATATCTGTTGAAAGTTTTGGAGCAAACAGGGCAAGCAAACTGTGTTGGACCAATGAGAATCTGAGAAGGAGTAGGGATCCAATACTGTCCTTTGTTAAGGGTGTTATTATGAAGCATCATGAATCCGGAAGAAGAATCGTCACCGTGCTCTTTATCAGTGACAGTGATCTCTGAGGAGTTATTTGATGAAGAAAGTACAGAAGCCATTTCAGCAGCACTAGGGTTTGGCAAACCTATGTGAAGTGCAACAGTAACTGTATTACTAGTATTACTACTACCATCTTCTTCTCTTTCTTCTAAATCCATGGCAGTGCAAGGAAGGTCTTGAATATCTTCCTCATGTTCTTGTTGATCTTCATATTCTTCTTGTTTTGCTGGGATTAGGCTTAAAAGAGGTAGTTCCTCTCTGAGAGGAGGGGAAGGTGGTGAAGAAGAAGATGAAATATGATGGTAGTGAAAAAAGGTATGGTTGTTGCTGTGGTGATGAAGAAAAGGGTGATGGTGATGGTATGGAGAAGGGTTTGAAGATGGGAAAATATGGTTGAATTGGAAGAAACTTGGTGATGAAGAAGAGAAAAGATTAGACCTGTAAGGGTGATCAGCCATGGAGGAAAGATCAAGATGGGAACAGTTTATGGCTAGCTACTTGTGTTGTTTGCTTTTATAGAAAGAGTACAAGATGGCTGAAGGAAGTAGTGGACGGTGGAGAGAGGGAGAGAGGGATAGAGAGAGAGAGATATTGCAGTATATCATCAAACATGGGGAAAGCTAAAGGTAATTATAAGTGGGAGAGAAAAATAATGATAATGATAATACATACTATATAGATAAAAAGAAAAAAAAAACTACTTTATTTATTATTCTTGATAATTAGATTTAATCAAGTTAAAGTAAGTCCAGTAAAAAAAATTAAGATAAAGTATGTTGGAGACTGATGACATTTCTCTTTGTACATATACTATATGTTAAGGCTATTTAATTAAATTCCTGTATAATACAGATTTATTGTACTAGTCTGTATAGCACATTTAAGAATTTGCTATGCAATTAATTTTTTCAATCATTTCAAGTCCTAAAAAGTCAGCTATCTCCTCCTCACGTACTACATTTTCAAACCCATGACACTTATTGCTTATTCACATAAAACTGCTAATAAGTTATTTGGATTAAATATTGTTAGGGATTAAAAAGCTCTACTTTGGAGAAAACAACTACTAACTCTCTGCTTGATAGTTTTTTCTAAGGTAAATATGATATAAATAAATAAAAAATAGATACTACAACCACTGTACAAACAATTTCGGTGAAAGGCACAAGAAGAATTAATCCTAGGATCAAAACTAAATGGAATACATTATTCAATTACTGAATATAATGATTTTAAAATTAAAAGACAGTTTTATACTCTCATTCAATAGAAAACAATGGTTATGTCATGTCATTACAAAAATTAAAATAAATGGTGATTTAATTGGATACATGATTATGATTGATTGATAATGTAAAATTATATTACACTGTCAGTGCATCAACCATTTTCTCATAATCCTATCCACCAAGAAGGAAGAACCAACAAAAAACAAACACGTAAACACACAGAAAAACTAGCATCAGGTAAAGCTATAGCTTTACAATTCGAGGACATTTGAAAAGAGCAACAAAACCACAAAAGACGAAACAAGAACACATCAAATTGAGGTCGAAGACACTCACCCCTCCATTGGCTTAGAAGCAGGATAGGGTTCTCATGGCAGACCAAGAAACCACAAAAGTTATCGACGGACCTACCAAAATACAAATTCCAAGACAGGAAGATGTTCATGTACCTTCCACGTCATATGGTGTCACCAAATATCTAGAAAAAACCATGTCATTATGAGTTTTTCAAATCGACCAAACAACATGTCAAATCGTCCTCGTCCCCCCTCTAGTCCTAAAAACCACAGGCGAAGGGATAAACGTCTAAAAAATGGTCAAAGTATCTCTAGGAAGAATTGCACACACCCATAACCACCTAAAAATTCTATACCAAACTGAGAATGCAACCTCGCAGGTCACAAAAAGATGGGAGGAGGACTCAATATGCAACGAGCAGAAGAGACAGGAAAAATTCCTAGATGTCAAGAGGACTCCCCTGTTAAGTATGTTTTTTCTGGTTGGGATACGATCCTAAAGAAGGTTCCAAGAGAAAATTATAACTTTAGAGGGGCCATGTTAAACCAAATGGTCGAAAGAACTAAATCTATCTGAGAAACCCGACGACTTGGGGGAATCACTCGGTCCAAAAGAGAGGAGTCGGCGGAAGTCACTGAATAAACCTCATTGCTCGAGTCATACCACCTCCGCTCATCACTCTCAATAGAATGAATGAAACCTTTAATCATAGACTAGATATCGCAAAAAAAATCCAACTCATAATCAAAAAGAAAAGGTCTCATCCACTTAAGATCCAAAATCAAACATTCCCCCTTTCATCTACCAATCTTCCCCAATAGATTTTGAGATCTAGTCCAAAATTGGAAAAAAGGAGAGTGAATCTAAAGGCGATGGAATCTACGACCAAACCAATATGATCAATTTAGTAAGAGGGCGCTAGTCGACATCTTATAAATACAAATTTTCTTCTCTTATGATTGTTTATTTACATTTAACGCTCACCTGTAAAGTGGAAATATTGGTATCTGTTATTATCGTCTCCACTATATAAGTGTGAGTCTAGATCACACTCTAGTACACTTTCATTCATACATGTAATAATCTAATCCCTTTTATAAACCGACTTGATTCTTAGAGTGTTAACATTTTGCATGTGATGCTTCGAAGAAAATATTTAATTAGATAAGATTTGATTCAATTTTGTTTACTCTAAGATTTTTCTGAAAGTGATTTATAAAAATATTGATTAAAGATGTAATTAAACAAATATTCTATGAAAAAATTTAATTGGATTGTTGTGTTTTTGTTTTTGAAGAGATATTAGTATGAATCTTCTACCTGAGAGTTTATAATTCTTATTTATATCAAGTAAAGACAATATTTAATTTTTTTTAATGAAGATTTATAATTGAATTTATGATTACTCATGGAAAACAACATGTTAAGCAATATGTCCAACATTTTGCTTGGCATCCACTACTATAATAACGTATATCACGTCGATCGAGAAATGCGTTTAACCTCGGCTACCAAGGCAATGTAATAAATGGTGACATGAAAAGTTAGCATTTAACACCTCGGTGTTTTTAAAACCGATGTTATAATTTTAAAAGTCATACGTTTGATCCCGAACAACTCCATATTTTTATTTTCTAAATTTTGTTGCGCGCATCGTATAACTCCCAATTTTATTTGAAATCCGAAGTAATAAGGTATTCATATACCTCGGTTTTATTTAATAATCGAGGTGTTAAATAATTTTTTTGCCTATATCATTTTCACTGTCCTACATCATTTTCACTGTCCTATATAATTTTTTTGACTGTATCATTTTCACTAACATGTATCATATCGTTATAAATCTATTAACCTGTATATTAACACACATAAACTACAAAATATGCAACAAATTTGGAGTATATCATATCATTTTAAATACACTATACAAATTTACATTGTTATCATCAAAACAGAATAAACACATTTGACATTTACATATTTGCACATCAAAATGAAAAAACATTTGTTTATATTCAAATTAAAATTGCAACAAATCAAGAAAAACTATTGTTGTCGTCGAGATTCATAACAAGATAAGAAGACACTGGCCCAACGTAATCGGATGTTATCTATATCTTCTTTTAGTTATGGTGTTTGGTTGCTAAACTCCTATAATTATAACAAGATTTAAATTATGATAAGCTAAAAACAATAACATTAATTTAAAAAGTATACATATGTGTGTGGTGTGTGTTTTTGTGTGTGTATATATATATATATATATATATATATATATATATATATATATATATATATATATATATATATATATATATATATATATATATATATATATATATATATATATATAGTCATAGATTAAGGTAATACCTTATTCTTCATTCATCTTTGTGTAATGCCTTTGGAGACAATATGAAGCATATATCTCATAACATAGAATCCACAAGAATGACTGTTGGGTTGTTTTCGCCACTATAAATCATTTTCATATATTTATGTCACATTAATACACACAAATAATATAATATCAAAAAGTACAAGTAATTTATACTTACTTTTGGATAAATATATGTTGGCTTTTTACCAAGTAAATTTTATGTGAGAATATTATATTCCCCCATCGCTCTACACAAGCACGTCCGTTAAAATTAAACTTGAATAAAAACTATTTAATTCTAAAATTAAAATTCGAATATTAAAATTAACACCAATTACCCATTCAATGCTTTAGTTGCAACTTCGATCAGTCTAGAGTGCAACGAGTAAAACACGACTATATTATTTCTCTCGGGACATATTATAAGTAGTTACCAATGTCAACTGGATAACAATTCCGAATAATTAATAATAAGGATAAAATTTATTTATAAATGAGAACACAAATTAATATATACTTACTCAGAGTAAAATGAGGCCAAATAACATTCTATGATGTTCCCTTTATCCTTATTCAACTTATCTTGTATGTACTCTTTTATATTATGTCTAAGAGAATCGTGAGTAAGAGCAATCTTCGAAGCATTTAAGATACAATACTTGTTTAAAATATTTCTTTCAGTACATACCTCATGGACGTACCTGCAAGGTCAAATATTTATGGAAGTACAAGAAAAAATAAATACAAATGGAAATCAACGTAAAACTATACTTACGAGCTCCAAAATTGTAATATGGAATTGTCTAGGTCCACATCTCTCTTCAAAAATTCATATATAGGAAGCTTATCAAGTACGAATAACTTCTATGATCATGACTTAATGTGATACCCATGATTGGGTCTGGAATAGTCGACATCGTCATCTCTAGTCTCTTAAACCTATCTTGTTTTCATGGTGAAGGTTTAATACTGCCCTGGTTGGCAAAAAATATATGTGTCACGCATATACCTACCGAAACTTTCTCTTGAATTTCCAACTGGTTTGAATTTGTGTAGCTAAATAAACCCAACGAATTATATTTCTGCATCATAAAAACAACATAAATATAATCCAAAATTAAAATACACAAACAATAATAATAACAACATACAACTTATACCTCAAGCACATCATGGATATACTGCACGAACACCTTCTCCTCATTCATCATTTCTCGCTCTTCTGGCTCCTTATGGGCACTCTCTCACACCGTCTACAATAACCTCTTCCTCTCCTCCTCTAATAACTTCTCCCGCACCGTCTACAACAACCTCTTTCTCTCCTCCTCCAATAATTTCTCCCACACCATCTACAACAAGCTCTCTCTCTCTCTCTCTCTCTCTCTCTCTCTCTCTCTCTCTCTCTCTCTCTCTCTCTCTCTCTCTCTCTCTCTCTCTCTCTCTCTCTCTCTCTCTCTCTCTCTCTCTCTTCCTCCAAGATCTTATCATGCTCCTCCTTCCACTTCTCCCTTTCCTTTCCCAACTCAACAACAACAATATATTTAACCCCTCT